AAAAAAAAAAAAAAAAAAAGTACGTAGCCAAGAAGAAGAATCCCACACATAAAGTCGATCTTAAATCATTACTTTAGTTTTAAAGGAAGATAAGAATTTTTTATTTTTTAAAGCAATCAAAACGTGAAAACATCTCGATCATATCAACTAATAAAAATTTTATAGACTTTAAAATATAAAATTTATTATCTATAAAAATTAATTTATTATTATTATTATTATTAAGAATTCAATATATTTAACTTATTTTATTAACCACTTTTCAAAATAAATTAAAATATAATATATAGAGAACATTTTTTTTAACATGAAGTATAAAGTTTTTTTTTTTAAATTATATTTATTCTAGATTAATACATTTTTGTGGGAAAAAAGATTTTTAAGAAATAAATTTATTTTTCTAAAAGTATCTTTGAAAATATTAATAATTTATTAAAAAAAATGATGATAAAAGTGAGTTGGGTCATTTTAAAATCCAGCATGTCTTTTAAGGTTTGCTAAGATCTAACATTGGGTGTCACAAAGAATTGAACCGAGATCACATTCGATTAAGAGCGATCCTGAGAATAGGATGACTAAGAAATACCTAACTGTGTGATAGGATAATGAATCACTAAAAGGGGAATAAGATTCGGATTACCTTGTTGATCGAATATCTCAAGGTAAGAATATTGTTTGAGATTCGAATCACTCCATAAGCAAGATCGATCATGTCTAGTTTGAATGATTCTTGTTGATCGAATATCTCAAGACAAGAATACTTGATTGAGATTCGAATCACTCCACAAGTAATATTGATCATGTCGAGCTTGAATAATTCTACATGCAACCCAAACTATATAGAATTGAAAAGAGACTGAGTCATTGGCTAAAGAAAAGCACAAAGGTTTCTTTTACTATATTTTTCTACTTACAAATACAACATACATGACTTTATATCGCATCGCTTTATATAGCCTCAAAATGAAACTATTAAAAGCATTCCGAGAGTTATAACATTCATACTTAATGAGCATAATTAACCATTATATAATTGTAAATAAAAAATCTTAAAATACATTAATGAAATACAATTCTTTTAAACTGTAATTCACTCAAAATTTATAACAGTAGAGTATAATCACTCTAAATTGTAATTCATCCAAAATGTAATTCATTCAAAATGTATAATAGTACACCCAAAATGTAATTCTTACAGTAAACTACAATCACTCTAAATTGTAATTCATCCAAAATGTAATTCACTCAAATTTATAACAGTAAACTACAATCACTCTAAATTGTAATTCACCCAAAATGTAATTCACTCAAAATTTATAACAGTAAACTACCATTACTCTAAATTGTAATTCACCCAAATTTATAACAGTAAACTTCATTCTTCTTCAATGTGAAATGGGGATTGAAATACAATATTTTCTTCACATCTTCATTGTGAAATGGATTGAAATATCTTTTGATAATTTCAACAATATTTTCTTCACATCTTCATTGTGAAATGGATTGAAATATCTTCTGATAATTTCAACAATATTTTCTTCACATCTTCATTGAAGTATATTGTATGATTGATGTCTCTTGATTCATATTTATTGGAGACTCATGGAATGTATGTGAATAAGGACAAAACATAAATTCTAGATCCTGATCCGAATCTTGAACATGAATTGTTATAAGGGGTGTTTGTGAAACCGTGTTTGTGAAACCCAATTGTGCGGGATATAAAATTTTCAAATCAAACAACCTTTGGTAGATAATGAGCCAAACCCAACCATAATTTTTTTTTTGTTAGGTTGGTTCGTGACGTCTCCTCAATGGAAAAAAAATGTTCTTGCATTGTTTTGTTTTCTCTTAAACCAATGCGATGGTTTTAACACCAAATTTGACATAGTTCAATTAACACGTACTCCCTCTAAGATCAAAAGTTCAAATCTCTGTACCCTACCTCTTTTATACGGAAGAAAAAAAAAAGCTCTAAATTTAAATTAAACCTAACCCGATACAACCCGACCTAGTTAGACCAATGGAATGGATGGATATATGTATACACTTTTCATCCGATACAAAGAAATCTAATGCTAAAATTTCAATCTTCTCTATCACTTATCTCAAAACAAGAACTTTTAGCCAAAGACATGAGTTCTTGAAACTTTTTACCTCTGGAATTGCAGAGTGAAATCTCTGGCCTTCCTCTGTTGGGAGAAATCCCAAGGTTATATGAAGCCATTACAAGCCTTTTCCCAAGCTTAGATGATCTCTCACGCTTTTGTGTACCTGCTTTAAATGGCGATTTCGAAGGCAACAAGCTTGGGCTTCTTTCCTCTGGCTCACTACGAGTAATGCCACCGCTCGATCGATTTGGAACGCTGCTTACTTCGTCGTGGCTTGGAAAATATCTTTTTATGATACTTGAAACAGACATGACTTCAGATGATAACTCACTGGTTGTGGAGGAGCTTGCATACCTTTGTTTTGTGGTTCTAACCTCATCATTTGGCATATTATGGTACGACGATGTATCGATCGAGCCATCGAACTTTTCTGCATCTTTGATCAGTTCCTCCAGATCGGAGTTCTTTTCCACATGCTCTAAACGCTGAGTTCTCTTCCTTTTTCTCTTTGTATTACAAGCTAAGATGATGCTTTTGGTGCTGACTGATCTTAGTATCTTTCTTGTCCGTTTCTTGTCGTCGATTCTGATTTTACTCGTGCAGGAGTGTCTACAGTAGCCTTGTCTTTCCGAAGGATAGGCGCCATTGTTTAGGTTGGGGAAACAATCGGCATTTTCGGGTAAACGAGGCTCGATAAACTCATTCAAAGGCTGTGCTTTGACATGAAGAAACTGCACTGATTCCACCCGGGAAGTGAGCTTGGTAAGCAACGTGTCGGGCAAATGGTAGAAGTTCGAGTTTTGCTTCACCTAATGGAAAGGAAATGGAACAAATTAGAACAAGATCTGAAACATGATGCTGAAACATGATAACAAATGAAAACAATCTACAAACACACCATGAATCCATCCACCTTGATCTCTCCTATATTTGGGAAACACTTAAAATGTACTCTCTCAACTTCCCCTGGAAAAAGTTTTGCAATCAGCAGACTACACAATAAAGACATTATAGACAACAAGCCCAAGACTTCAAGCTCGAGAGTCGTTAAGTCGTTAAGTGCATAAACAACGCAAAGATCTGTTTGAAATGACTTTTCAAGTGCTTTAAAACACTTTCTTAGCCGGGAATTTGACTATTCAGCTAAGCTCATGTACTAGTAATTCAAACTTCCTAACCCGAACTGGGTTGCTTACCTCACAAGAAGGATTTGTTAATCCCATTGGCTATATAAGTCCATTTTACACGAACCCAAGTTCATGAAATTCAATGTTCATATGCATACTAACTTTAACAAATCATATAACACATACATAAAGGCAATCTTCTCAACTCCAAACTTCATACCTATCCAAGCCTATCAAAACCATTAGCCATATCATACAATTCCCCTTTCTTTTTTGAGGGAAAAACCCAGCTTTCATTGAGAAGCCTGAACAAGTAGAAAAGGGAAATACAAAAAGGAAAGCCAAAGACAAAAGGAGCCAAAAAAAACCCAAAATGATTAGCCAAAGGGAATACGCCGCCCCTAAAATCATCCCAAGCGCGGTTAATGTGGCTACTAAGCCATTTCTATGGAAAGCTCCTACTAAGATAGAAAATTCCCCGATAAAGCTGTTGGTACCAGGTAAACTCATATCGGCCCAGAGAAGGAAATGGTAGAGAGATTCAGCATGGTGCTCACTGAACCTCTGTAATATCTAACAAGTCGAGTCTTATGTCGGTCATATAGAAATTTATGTTTCTTTTCTAATCATTTAAAGATTACTTCTCTTAGTTCTTCAAACTTGACTTGGGTTTTGAGTAAATAACAAACCAACAATGAAATTGTAAGACAAAGCTCTTATTCAACGGAATGAGAGATAAAAGGATGATCAATGAAGTCATGGAAGCAGGGACAAGAGACATTGAAACTAGCCAAGAACATTGGAAATCAAATCTTCAAGAACAGAGCAAACGAGAACCCAGAATCTTCTTTCAACAATTCAATTCCTTAAACAATCATAATGAACAGACAAAACATAACTTTAACTGGAAAGTAAACAGCAGAAATCTCAACATTGTAGAAAAATGAAGAACACAGAATCTATAAACAGAAACATAAAGCCTTTCAAACACATAAATGAAAAATCGAAATCCCTAAACAGATAAATCTCATGAAAAGGGGTTTCTTCTTCAACAAAAGAGAGACAAAAAGAAAAAAACCCATAAACAAATGAACCGTTTGTAATCGGAGATAAAATAAAGAGGAGGAAAAGTGAAGTGCAGATATTTTTCATTAGGTTTTGGCTCACTCTTTAAAGCTCCGGCGGCGATGTGCGGCGGAACAGCGACGGCCAGATGGGTGCCGAAATCAGTATCGATGAACACTGCAACTTCGAGCTCTGAAGCGGCCATTGAAGCGCTGGTGAGTGGAGCCACAATGCTGAAGCCGTCTGGCACGGCGTCTCACTCAAAAGTACTAATGTCCTTTATTTATTTATTATTATTATTTAAGTAAATTCTAAAAAATACCCAACTAATTTTTTCTTCCATTTTAAAAATATTTTAATTCTTTAAAAAATTACAATAATACCTTTAAACCTAAAATATATATATATATATATATTAAAAAACGACTAAATTCATTTAAATATTAAAGTAAAAAAATACTTTATTTACAATAATTAAATTAAACTAAAATATTATTCATTTGATTATAAATTTAAAATAAAATATTATTTATTTTTGTTATTTTAAATTATTTATTTATTTTATTTAAAAATATTTACATGGGACTAAGTGGAGAACATAACAGCGAATAAATCAAATTCCAAATCCCTAACCCTAAGTGAGTAAATACAGAACAATCAGAAAACCTCCGATCGCCGTCGCGAAGTACGACGCCAACGTCGCCTTCACCGTCGAGTTCAACGACGGCGGTCCCCAATTCCACAACTCCAATCCCTCAGGCGAAGGCGAAGTTTCATCAACGTCATTCATCACTCGCACCGCTAATTTCTGTCCGTTCTCACAATGCTCTCTATCTCCACTGATGAAATAGAAATCTCCGTCTCGATCCAATCGGAAAACGGTGCCGTTGCCACTTCCGTTGTCGAACTTCGCGACCGGATCGGAGATGATGCAGTCTCTGTAATTCGTGTAGTTCACCACCAGAACCGAGTCGTTTCGGTACTTGAAATCTGCGAAAATCGAATCGATCGATCGAAAAGTGATGAGGTAATAATACTCCGAAAGTGTGAGTTGAATTAAAGGAATTATTAGGTGTATGTGAGTTTACAGAGAGTGTCGCCAACATGGAAGCGGTATTGTGAGGCCCAAAAGCTGAAGCTCTCGGTGTGGTTTCCGCTTCCATTAGGGCTCGACCAGCCTCTGGTTTCACCGACGTGAAAATGACGCGAAGAAACCAACGGCGCTGCAGCGAGAGCGATGGATAGCAGAGACAAGAGCGGGAGTTCGCGGACTGAAACGGAAGCCGCCATTGACGATCAAAATGTAAGGATTCCGATTTCTGAATCATCGTCGAAGATCATTTAAGAGAGTTTTCTGAATCAGTTTTTCGCAGACAGTTTGAAGATCGTGGGAGATGAAGAAGTTTGGGGATGGTGGAGGAACAGTTTTGCTCCAAGCCTTAGTCACGTGCAGTGCACGAACCTCTCCCTCGCTCTCACAATAAAATTTATTTCAATTCATTATTTTTTAAAAAATTAATTTGGTGCTTTAATTTATTTTTCTTAATACTTAAAATTACAATTACATTTTGTTTGACCTAATTTTTGTATACTTATCTCAAATTATTTTCATTATATAGAATTTTACATATTATCTAATAAAAAAATTTAAGTTAAATATTAATAAGTTCCTCGGTTAAATTATAAATTTGGTTTTTTTTATTTGAAGAAAAAAAATGATTTTAATCTCATTCTTATAACTTTAAATTCTAATTTATTTCAAATTAAAAGGGTCAATTTGTAATTATGTATGGATAAAAATAGTAAAAATAAAATAAAAATGTTTTTTTTTAAATAATAATATATACACATAATTAGTTTAAAATAAAGTTAATTAGTGTTCTCTAAAAAAAAATTATATTTTTCAATAAGAAAATTATAGTATCATCCAACAAAAGTAAGGGTTGGAATTTCGATTTAGACGGAAACCGAGAACGAATTGAGAGAGGCTTCTCTAGGTAAATGGGGTTAGAGACGGGTTTATATTCAAAAACACCTTGTTATTAGTATTAACACATTTTACTTTTATAAATTTTTTTTTTTTTTTTTTACCATCAATAGATGGATGAAACGGACACCTCATAAATTATGTTCAAATTTTTTAATGTTATTTTTTAAAGTTTACGTATTTAATTTTGATTTTTTTTTTTAATATTTAAAGGTGTTTTTGAAATTTTTTATAAAAAAACTAAGAGTATTGTTTTAAACTCAAAGCATATTTTTTAAACACCGTTTGAAATTATATTTTTGAATCAAAATATTAACCATTTTTTATAAATATATTTTTTAAGTTAAAAATATTTTTAAATTTCTTTTTTTAAATTCACTATTCAAAATTTTAGAAGTTTAAATTATTTTTTTCTAAAATGTCCAATAATTTAAATAGTATTAGACAAGAATTTAAAATTAAGAAACATATTAAATATAAAATAAACAAATTTAAAGACCAGGTTAAATACTTTTAAAAAAATTAATATGAAAAAAAAATGGTAATTAACTTAATTTCAAATTATATAGATTAATTCATGAAGGGGAAAAATGCTTAATAGATTTCTTTCCTTATTATTTATTTATTTATTATTAATTAGGTATTTATATATAATTATTTGGAATATCTGGAGCTACGAAATCAACGGCCAGGATATTCTCAAGGCGAGAGAGAGGGAGCTTCCATTTTGATGACCTGAAAGTGGCATCACGCGCGACTGGAATGGGGTCTTGCAGTTGGAAGTTTAGGGGAATAAGACGGTAATTGGGGCCCACATCAACCTGCAGTAGCCGGTCACCATCTTCCCACCCCTTTATAATGCTCTGCTGTTGCTTTGCCTTGGCTGATGAGAGGAGTAATGGATAACTAAAAATGGAGAAGCCTCTCCTTCAATGGTGGAAAGTGAAAGCTTTTGGAGAATCTCTTCATCTTTTAAACAAAATCCCAACTCATAAAGTTACAAAATAGTCGGAATTAAATATTCGTAACCCATTTTATCGTATAATAAGATAAATAAATTAATTGTGACATTCACGTGACAGTAACGGTAAAATTTGTTTGAATAGAAAGAACGTCATCTCCAAAACGACAAAATGTAGTTGAATGAGATAGTAGGCGGGTTACACATTCCACTGTGCCGAGATGTGAGGCGCAGGTGGCGATGATCACCTTGAAATATCCCGAGAATTGCCAATCAAATCTAGTATTTTAGCTCTCAATGCAAATTATTTGGATATGAATATATGGTCGACATCAGCCAAAATATGATCCTACGGTCAACATTGGCCAAGTATAACCCTATGGCCATCCTCGTCTAGTATTTCATTCAATGGATGAGAGAGGGTTTTTCCTACGTCACGAGAGAGTGAAAAAAGAGTTTCGTCTATAGTGAAACTCATTGTTGTTCGATATGCCCATAACACATTAGACAATTGTTCTACCCACAATCATTTTATACTTTTACCTATTAATTGACTCGCCGACGTGTTGGAGATAAGTATCAATGACCGATCTCTATTACAGTTGTTATGTTCTTAAACTCGTATTTTTAGAATGAGATGAATAATTCCTTAACCTTTAATAAATATTTGTTGTTCTTTATTTGTTCACTTGATATTGAGTTATCACCCTTATTTTATAATCAACTAAACGTTGAACGTTGATACTCTTCTCTTCTTTGATTAGGATAGAACTTATAGCGGTGTTAGAGAAGGCCGCCTAAAGTAACAATTTGTCCATTGAATGTCCATAGCTTCTGCTATATGGGCTTAAAATCTATGTCAACAATTTATGTACCATAACGTTGAGATTTATTCTTGACATGTCTTCATGAAACTAGACAAATAAGTTTATATTGTCCCTAAAAAAAACTGATCATTCATCGTTTTTGTTCTTCCCCTAATTTAGATCTAATATTTACCCACCTATCATCACACATACGTTAGATGAATTCTAAATATTCAACAAGATGTCCTCTCTAGTCAACTTCGAGTTCTTGGGATGGACCGAGGATCAAGTCGACTACATCCTTCACTATTCCATCATGCGATTTTGTTGGTTCAAGTTGCTCGCAACTAAGTTAGCCTGGTTGGTTGATGTCTTTGAGACTTGATCATCTATTTGAATCATTCTCAAAGTTCTCATTCTTCTTTTTCATATTTTTGTTCATCCTTGAACATGATGGGTAGATAGAACAAGCAAAATTCAGAAATGATCTCACACACATGACCTTCAGAAATGATCTCACACACATGACCTTCGAGTGGCAGTAAAACTTGTTTGAAGAAGAACGTGACCTGCAAAATAAAAAAGAAATGTATACATTGATGTGTTACTAACCACACATTGATGTGTTACTAACCAGTCACGATCAGATGGGTAAGTAATATTTTAACTAAATGTAAGTGTAGCAAATTAGTACTGACATTTTTCAGAGAGAGAGAGAGAAAGCAATCTAGTGCAAAAAAATTAATTAATATTGAACTATTGGCAATTGACTTGACCCTTCTTCTCCTATAAATTAAAACAAGTATCACATTTGCTATCTTCACATTCCCTTTCTCTCTCTCTTCCCTCTCTCTGAAACAGCTTCTTTTGAGTTCATCTTTTAGAATTTCAAACAACTTCTCTGCTTAGTGATGTGGGGATTCTTGTGCTTTGTTGCCATGGGAAATCAATAATCTTTCAGGTAATTACGTAGATTTGAACTCTCTAGCTTTTGATCGATGTTATAAAATCTTAATGAATTAGCTTATAATAGTTTTTTTTCTTCTTAGTGAACTTTTTCACTCAAATATCGTCAATCATGAATACTAAAAGTTTCGAGTTAGAGAAAATTCATATTTTGAGAAAACATAGTATCTTTACCTTCATCATAAATTCAAAACTAAAAATTAAGGGAAGGGAAGAAAAAAGGGGGGATAAAGGCCTCATAAATAGGCATGATATAATGACTATGCATTTTTGTTTGAATGTCAAGCTCAAAGTGCAGCAAATAATGGTGAAAGTGAAGAGGTGAAGGCAAACATGGAAGGAGGAAGGGTTGATGTTGACAGAAGAGAGAGAGCACAACCCAACCATTGGCTTAAGAGAATCGTTGCCTTTGTTGGGAGTGTGCTCTCTCTTCTTCTGCCACCTTCTCCTCCCTCCCATCTTCTTCCAATGCTAATGCAATTACTTGTGCAGCTCAGATGTTTCTATGGTTTTACTATTAGAAGTTGTGGACATAAATATATCGAGTTTTCATACCTTGC